CCGCCGGCATGTCCAGCCAAAATATGGATATTTTCTTCTTCTCTGAATCACTGTAACATCTAGGAGAACACTGAGAACTGGCAGCATTGCACAGCAATATCCACAGACAAGAAATGCATACAAGTTGTATGCAGCTGTAATGTAAAAATAGCAAGGCGCGGGCATTTTTTTTTTTCTCAAGAATTCAGTGGAAAATTGCAGATCAAATTCTCCTCCTTGGACCCTCTGATACAAACCTCTCGTCTAGTGGAATACCACAGCTGTGATTGGTTGACCTGCAGGTCACAAGTCATCACGCTGACAGTAGACAGTGGGGAGGAAAGAAGAAGAGTAAAAACAACAAGCAAAATGTCTCAAAAAATAGCAAGCTCAAGAAGGGAAGGTGTTTTTTTTTAACAGCCAACAGAGCCAATGGAAGCATCTAACCACATTGGAGACAAATGAAACATTGTTTGAGGCAATTGCATTTTTATTGGAAATTCAGTCGGCTGTTGGTTTGTTTCTGCTGTTGCTGTTTATTTCCATTTCCAATTAAGAGGAAATAAAAGTTCTCTACCGCTATGGACTCCTTTCAAACGAGGGAAAGTCGTGATTGTTTTTCCACATTACTGCGGTCGTCACAGATTGTGATTTCATGCAAACCAGTTTGATTGTGTTCGTAGTCTATTGGTATTTTGCTTCTCTCAGAATCCTTTGCAATCACGTTGTAATTTTGCCGATCAGTATGTGAACTTTGCCGACACGCGTTGATGCATTAATGTTGATTTTTTTTTTTTCTTCTTCTTCTTCTTCCTGAAAAATTGGACTTCTTTCCCTTTAACGACCTACTCCCAAACTGATACTAAAGCCTTTTCCTGCATGATTTTATAGGAATTTTATTTTGTTTGATATATGTGCTTTTTAAAACACATCAGTCGGATTTTCCTTTTGAGTTCATCAGTTTGGGAACACTGTTACAAGGTTTGTAGCTCTGTAAATAGAGGTGGAATCTATTTTGTCCACTGTAAATCAGCCACTGAAAGCAGTTTGGATATGGCAGCTGTTTTGTTTTGTACAGGAGGTTCAGATTTCTGTAGGGTGGTTTGGATGGATGCTGGTTTGCCTCTGTCAGAACCAAACTCTAAATGTTTCCCCGTCCTCTCTAGCTAGTGCAGAACCAAAGCCACAAAGGTAATAAACAGCCACACAGTCACACGGTCTTATCTGTAGGAAGAAACCAATTTTACATTTAAAAAGAAATCCCATCCACCCCACAGAAATGCTTTGAGATCCCTGTGTTTGTGTTCACAATTGTTCTTTAATCTTTAATTGAATTGATACTACAGTATATCCCTTATCTCTTTTGTTGGAATTTTTGTTTGAAAATGGGCAAGAAGACAATGAAGGATGTCTTTATACAATTGGATCTTATGGGTATTTATTTGTGCATTTGTAAGGAAGCTAACACATTTCTAAATATGTTTGAGCCTAGTATTATTAGACACCATTTGTACATTATATAGCAGAGGTGTTCAGTGTCATATCTGATGTCTGGTATGTATGCTTTACCATTATGTGTGCCAATAAACCGTGCTTACAAAGAGCTGCATTTGGTTTGGTTACATGCATCGTGTGTGCGTGTAGCTGGCAGTGTTCCTGTCTGTTTTTACTTTCACCTCTAAACTCTGAACTGTTAAAAAAGAAAGAAAAAAAAACGTCTCTCCCGAAGGCCCCCTTTAGTAGCTTTCTATCATATTACACAATCTCAGACGAACGGAAGAACTTTTCACCCACGCTGGACGAGACAAAATAATTTGGGGGCGTTTTGTTGAGCAAATGTCAGGAAGATGTAGGTGTAGTTAAAGTCCCAGCTACATATTGTGAGTCACATAATCTTTCTCACGCAGTAAGAAACTATATGTCTGGGCTGTAATCATTATACACTCTCCTTATTTTTCTCATTTCTTGGTGATAACTAGCCAAAGAAGGTTATGTTTCATCACATTCCCCGCGTCCATAATAGGGTCTAATAGCGTAAAATGACTCGGCCATCTGTCGTAAACATCGTCTTCTACAGCTGCCGTGTTCTGATGACATTTAATGAGCGTGCTTTGAGAAATCTACTGCAGAAGAAGCTGAGATAAGGTAGGCATTTTTAACACCTAAGGAACTCTCAGAAGGCATGCCACGCAGCCTAATTTAAAATATGAAGAAGGTTCACCTATGGTTATAGACATGCCCCAATATTCAAAGACAAATCACTAGAAGGGTCAATTTAAATTTATAGGCCTCATACATGCACATTTGATTAAAACCCTTAAGTAAAAGTTCACGCTCTTTCTCCCATGCACCTCTGAGATAATTAAAATTTATTCTGGGAAAAGTAAGTAGTTGCTACATGAAGAACATGGAGTTTAAAATCTGGCTGTCTTGCACAAAACATCTCCAGGAGTATACTGATCATCTTATGCTGATGGCTCACAGTGAAAGGCTATCGCTATTGATTTTTTAATATAGCATTAACCTACATCCATTGCTGTTATTATCTGTACAAAGACACTGCCGCTGTGTAACGGCTGGATGTGCAGGTAAGTGACAGCACAGGTGTTCATGAATAAGTTAGTTGTATGTGACTTTGTTCTTATTTAACAGGATTTTGAACATATTCAGGCTCGATGTAATGAATCCTACAGAATCCATATTCTCTGTGTAGATTCTATATTATAATATTGGCATGTAGGGCATGTACCTGAGTTTTCCTGAATTATTCAGCTGACTACAACCTGGAATGCTGTCTAACCTGGAGCATGAACATGCAGGCAGGTTCATAGGCAGCTGAACCACAACACAATATTCATAACAGATTTGAAATCAAGCAATCAAGATGTTACTGAAGTGTGGACTGTCACCTTTATTTCAAGGAGGATGACAAAAACATTGCTTTTCAGAATTACTTTTTTTTTTTCTTAAACAATCTCCATTTTTACATGCTCAAAAGTAATTGGACAATTGACTGATAAGCAGTTTCATAGCCAGGTGAAGCCTGTTCCCTTGTTCTTACATTACTAATTGAGGTGTTAAAAAAGTCTAGAGGTTCCAAGTGTTCAATTTTCTATGTTAGCAACATGTGGTCTAAGGAGGTGTTGATGCAACATCCAGCCAAAACTAAGAACATTCTGGAGCAGGGTGCATATCACCGTCAAAATCTACAATCAAGAGATGCCATTATGAATATAGCTACAGGAGGTTTACCTGAAGATGCAAACCCACTGGTAACACTGAAGAACAAAACAGCTACATTAGACATTACTAAAAAAAAAAAAAAATCTGTCCAGTGCTAGAACAACATGAAACCAAGATGAATCTGTACCAGAATGATGGGGAGAGAGGAGTATGGAGAGGGAACCGAAGGGCTCATGATCCAAAGCACATCGTTTGTCAAACATGGTAGAGACACTGTTATGGTATGGGCATATATGGCTGCCAATGGAACTGGGTCACTGGTGTTTATTGATGATGTGACTGCTGATTGAGGGAGCAGGACGAATCATAAAGAGTACAGAGCCACATTATGCTTTCTGCCTAGACTCAGTCAAACGCTGCACATCTGATACCGACAGCACTTCACAGTACAGGTGAATAAAAATCTAAAAATATACCAGAGAAGCAACCCAAGTACTCCACACGGCAAAGAAATGGAATCTTCCTAAATGGCCAAGTCAGTCAGTCATCTGACCTCAACCCAACTGAGCTGCTTTTCACAAACAGAAGACAAAACTGAGGGCAAAAAAACTGGTAAACAAGCAGCAACTGAAGGCTGCTCACCTGGCCAAGCGTCTCACAGGAACCTCAGCATGCACTGATGCTGTCCATTGTTCCAGACGTCAGGCAATCACTGACTGCAAAGGTCTAGTAAAAGTAATCCTTTAATTGATAAGTATGTTAGTTTGTCCAAATATGTAAGTCTATGGAAGAAGAGAGAAAATGGCTAATTCCTAAAGCGTTAATGCAACATTTTTTGGTAAACCCCCTCTATGCTTCAATCATAACTTGATTGGTTCATTTAAAATCTATTGAAGTGGTGCAGAGAGGAAAAATTACATTTGATATTATTCTTGTGGACCTGACTGTAATTCAGTAGGAAGGCACCTCAGCGCTGTTGTTGGGTAGACTTTACATCCAGAGCGATTTGGTGGAACTTTGGCGACACCACGTGGATCGTGTCGGGTACTGCAGCAACACTCATTTATTCTATTGTTATCATTATTGTCATTGGTACAAAAGAACACAGTTCGAAAGGATTGCCGGACATAAATCAGACAAAAGGTTAAAATAAATAAATAAATAAAACAAACAAATAATGGTAATAATAATAGTAATAATAATAATAATAATAATGTTTCAGATTTGCCTTTAGTTTCACTGCAACGCTTTTAGGTGTTTTTTTTTGTAACACACAATATTATTTTTAAATTCTTATTTTTCTTATCATTTTTCTTATTTTTGCCGTTCTTGAATAATGGCAGCGAACAGAACACAGAAAAGCTCTTTTAATATAAGATGCATATCCATAAACAGTATGTAGATATTTTTTAACACGACAGAAGTGAGTTATGCTGGAAGTTAGTCTTTATTTATGTGCAATCTCCATGTTACGTTAATATTATTGGGCATTAACAACAACTGTGCAGTGAAGACAGCATCGTTGTTCACGTTAGAGTTAACGAAACACATTACCACTAAGAAATTGACCAGTTTTTTTAGTTTATTGATTTATATAGAAGCGGATTGAGTCAATTCAATACCTGTCAATCATTTTTATTTGTATTTTTTTAATAATTTCATTTTTACTAACTTCTCCCCCTGCGTGGGTGTTAATGTATCGTTGCTGAGTAAAAGCTATGAATAATATTAAAATATGTAAATAAACTGTTGAATCTATCTGGCGACGCTCATCGCTGTGACGTTTCCTTGTTTTTTTTAAGCATGCGCCGCGATGACGTTTCACAGGGCGACACGGCGGCCAAAGTAAAGATGGCGGACTTGTCGGGGACCGAGCTGTCAGACGAGAAAGAAGCCGAAATTGAGCTAAAGAAGCGACAGAAACGACCGTGGGAGGACCTGCGCAGGTCGGGTAAAATCGGTATAACTGCGGAGCTACCAGAGACGTTGGGTTTCTACGACATCAGCGCTGTCAGGAGGGAACAGCCGGAGCTCCCAGCAGGTAACCGACGGGTCTCCCCCAACTGACGTTAACCTGCAGCTAATGACCGTTAGACGTCTCCAACCTTTTAACCAAGTCTTCACACTGTTTATGTGGATTAGCGTTGTTACCGTGTTGACCTCGTACACACAGCGTTGTATCGATAGCAGTAATGTTTAAGCTGAATTAGTTGGAACATTTTCGTCAGTGTGTTTCCAAAGCTTGTTTACAGTCACTGCTACTTTGGTTAGCTAACAATGAAGCGGCTGTTGCACGGTAACTAGAACAACCGACTGACAGAGAGTTACTGTGTGAAGTTAGCTCCCTCTTTATTTAGCCACTGTACTGATGTTTCAGGTTAGTTTGCATGGCTGCATAAACAGCTTTGCCTTAAGAGTTCTCGGTGTGGCATGTAGTGTTTACCCCTGGGCGTTTATATATCATGCTGCCCAGGTGTTACCCTATCAGATTCTGTAGCCCATTTAAGTTCAGTTATTTTGCTACTCCAGATGTTTTTATGACAGTTTTATCCATGGTATTTAGACAGGAATACATATGTTAGTAAGTATTGATAAAAATGACCTGATTTCATGAGTACTGTATGTTGTTTTTGGGGCCAATATACCAATTATTAGCTATCAAAGAGACCAGTAACCAGTATTTAGACCCAATACATGTGTATTCTCAGTAAAAAAAAAAATTAAAAACATGTTGTTAAAGTATAGAATAATACAAACTGTGTCGCAAAACACTATTGAAATGCTTGTTTATTTCTGTTTTACATGTGTTTAATGGAAAGAGGTCTTCTCAACATGTATCCTCAGTGTTAGTAAGTTGGACCAGAGAGTGAGGAAAGATGGATGGAGGCCGGTAGAGCCTGTCTACATTAATTTGTTTGATTTGGAATGAGTTAAAGGAAATAAAAGAAAAGAAAAGAAAATGTAAAAAACAAAAACAAAAACAGAGAGATCCTTCGATTTGGCCACATTTCAGATTCGATGACATTTTGATGAATTGTTCAGCCTCTAAAGAGGGAAATCAATTTTGATAGCTATGACAACAGCGACACTAATTTGGCAATTTGATGTATTGTTTCAGCCATTTTTCAAACAAAAATCCCAAATGCAATATGAGGTTTTAAAGTATGTCCTTGTCATAGACTTTGGTAAGCAGAATGTCTTCTGGTTTTGGATTATTAGGCGTATAAATAAAGACATTTAAATATGAGACTTTCTGCTCTAGATTGCTGTAACAGACATTTTCCACTATTAATTCATAGAATACCTAATTAGCACATTATTGAATGATGAAATAGGAACTTGTTGCAGATCTGCTGTAGAGACACCACTTTCTGGTAATCCAAAAATCACAGCTTTCAAAATGAGCAGCTCTAACTAAATACACTGGCACCATGTGTGGCTATCAAAACATCCTTACTGCACTGTGCACATGAAGAATTTGTCTAGTCCAGTACGAGGACAGGGTACATCTGATATCAGGCAAACACTGCTAAATACATACAGAACAGGATAAAGTACAAACAGTGAAGACACTGTAGCTCAGATAAAATGCACATTTGCAAGTGAAAATACATCAGTCCCCATTCAATGTGACTGTTAGCTGTCTTTGTAATGACAGTGTGTTTTTGGATGCTATGTTTTCTTGTAGGCTTTTTAAATGTTTTTTTTTTACTTCAGCCCCTTTAAATTCTGGTGTGTTTAAGTGTGATGTTGACTTTAACAACAAAACTGTTGCTAGTTGAGCCAACATTTTACTGTAGGTCAAGCGATGTACAGATGTACAGTGAACTCGTCTTTGTCCTCAGTTTATGAAGCATGACATGTTTGACGTATTCTCACAGGCTGAAGTCAAGTGGAAAAAATTCAAGACAATATGGGGCATTTGGAGTACAGTCAGACCAGATTGTCTGTTGTAATGTTCTGCATTTATCAACCTAGTTCTTAACAAGTGACATTACTTTATTGTGTTCAAATAACCTCCTCCTTTTTAAATTGTTTATCTAATATTTTAGAAGACCTTTTTTGGCATTTGATGATACCTATCATTAAAAACCGCCACACTGTATTGTGTTATAGCAGTTGCTCAACAGTTACATACAGAGCTGACATTTTAAGTTGATTTACTGATTAGTCCATCCACAGAAAAATGGACAACAATTAAAGTAACGTAATAAATGTATTAAATTTTCGAAGTATGTTAGAATATCTCTGCATTTTGCACGTTTTGGTGAATAAAACAAGTAATTTCAAGACAAGACCATAGAATGTGATGGACATAATATTTTATAAACCAACTGATTATGTGATTAATTGAGAAAATAGTCACCAGATTGGCCAATTATGAAAATATTACTATTTGCAGCCCAAGTCTCATTATAATTAGTCATAGCAAGTTCATTTAGCCTGTTCAGCCTTTACAGAGACAAATTCAGTGTGCATGAAATCAAACCGTAAACTCAGAATAACATTAAACCCTCACTTTCTAGTTTTTATCATTCAGAGAAGTTTCCTCCTCTTTCACTTTACAGTGTGACACTCTAGAGGTTGGAGGTCTCATTGTGTTGACAGCTGTAATTGTTGCAGACAATGGCTTTGTGGTAACACTGTTGCTCTCACGTTGTTCCAGATCCGTCGTTGACACGCTTCATTTGCGCAGAGCTCACCAGAGGTTACTTCCTGGAACACAATGAGGCAAAGTACACCGAGCGCAGGGAGAGAGTTTACACATGCATGCGTATTCCCAAGGAGCTGGAGAAGGTAGCGTGTAACAGCAGCACTGAACCCAGCTGCCCTCTTTTCTCTTCAGCTATCTCCATCTGTCTGTTGTCATTCCCAGCAGCGCGCAGAAAGCTTGTATTCATTTTACAGAGAGTCTAACTGAGTCAGTCCTAACCCTCATTACACCCTGCATGTTCTGCACTAACCCTCAGCTGAGTATTTAATTGTCACATTTATCAACTTTAAGCTTCTCAATCAGTTGCTTTAATCATTTATCAAGTAAAGAAAAATGTTTTGCCTGTATAAAGTGCAAGTTATCACCTGTATTTACTGTGTATAAAATCATTATAAATGATTTTTATTTTTTTACCAAGTGGACAAATTAGGTTTGCATTTTTAAAGCATTATGTTAGACGCAGTGATTTTGTCATTAAATGAACGTCATATTATAGACTAAGCTGTTAAATGTTTAGCACCAATAACTAAAAGATTTAGTAATCATTCAAATACATGTTAGTTACACCCTATGTGCCTGACTGACTGGTGTATTTTTTTAGTGTTTTTGTTGTTCTTCTCATAAGTCACCAGGTGGCAGTGTTGACACACAAAACTGGAGTTCATCTGAAGTGCAATAGCTGTACATTATGTTGCTTTTTTAAGGAATGTGGTTTTTGTGTTGATATCTCTAATTGAATGTATTTCATCATTTTTATAAACTACAGTTTTTCCTAAAACCTGTTCAAAATGCAAGTGTAATTTACAGTAGTGCACTAAAATTCCACAGTTAGGCTATGAAGGCTACCATTTTCATTTGTATTTGGTGTAAAGCTAATTATTTATCATTTTCAGAGTAGAGTAGACCCTCTCTCAGTGTGTCCTAACGAGCCCAGACTAACGTAGCTCTTACTGCCTCTGGTTTTCTGTGGGGGCAAGAGAGGAATGTGTGTAAACATGAAAGGCCTCAGTGGCTGCACTATGTTTAACAGCGTCAGGGTACCTGACAAGGCCTCCAGAAAAGTCACACAGACTCCTCCAGTGAGAGAAAATCCCTCCCACCAGATCCTACCGATACTTAGTGCAGTCATTTTTTCCCAGTTAGAAGTAGGAATAAGAAGATGTCAGATGGCTTAAAAGGCATTTCTCCTGAAACATTCCTTTGAAAATGACAAGGCAATGGCTCTTCGTATATGGGGAACTGTGAAGGTATGTGTCTCGTGCATAATTAGGTCTAGCCTTAGTCTTTCTTTTTGCTTTTTTTCTTTACTGTCACATGTGGTGGTTATTAGCTTTTGCTTGGATTTTGCTCCACAGGATAGGAGACAGATGATGTGTGAAGTCACTTTTTCAGCTAGAAATCATTACGCTGATGCTTTTGCTTTTTAAAAACATATTTTGTTTTTGTAGTCCTTTGACTGTGAGGAATACTTATTTTTTAGTCAAGGTGAAGACAAAGTCTTTCCCACTGATGGTCACTGTTTAATTTGGAGGTTTTGTTTACTCTATGTATATTCACACTGACACTCGTAGTCTCACTCGGAGGTGTTGCTGTGTGACTTTTCCAGCTGATGATCTTTGGCTTCTTCCTGTGTGTGGATGCCTTCCTGTACGTGTTCACCCTGCTGCCCCTCAGGGTGCTGCTGGCCCTGCTCCGCCTCCTTACCCTGCCATGCTGTGGCTTCAGGTCAGACTTGCATATACACACTCTTCTGTCTGTAAATGTGCAAAATAAGACCATATGATTATACCCACATACATATAGACCAACACACGGTGTAAAATACAATCACTCCATATTCATTTTTGTAATTTTTTGGTGTCTTTCTTTGTACAATTCCATTTACACAAACAGCTAAAAACAAAGGTTACTGCTTGGCTTCCAGTGAATGCTAGGACAAAAGTAGAAGGTAGAGAAACTATATATAAACTATCTATAAAATGAAAATTCTCTGGGCTAGATATTGACATTATGTTTAGGAGATTTGCAACCCTACAGAATTTCTAGATCTTTTTTTTTTTTCCTGACTTTTAGCATGTCGGAGTGTGATGAAAACATGTGACGAATCAGATGTTTACTTGCAAATCGAGTATGTTTCATACAACACAAGCACAGATGACTGAATGTAAAGTGTTTGTATTGCAAATAGTTTTATTAATTGTGCAAGCCATAATCTCGTTTGCAATCATTATTAATAATTCAATACAATTAAGCCCGAAATCATTCAATTGCCATGGCAAATTTTAATCTATAGTAAATTATTTGGCTCAGTCGGTTTCCTTTGGCCAGAAATGACATAAATATGTGACAAAAGGGCAGGTGGCTGATGAAAAGCGCCATGTCCAAAATTATTCAGTAATCCATTTGTTTTGCCACCACTTATAACTGCTAGCAAGCTTGTTGAATGACCCTACTGGGGTTTTGAACTATTTATCTTTTGCAACGATGTCCAGGTGGACCTAAATCATAGACATATATCCAGGACTGTGGAAAGGTTTCAGGCATTTTCAAAAATATTGCCATGCTTTTTTATTATTATTGTTTATCAGTAACTGTAAGAGGTCGTCTAGAGCAATCTGGGACAACTTACCACAATTCTTCTGTGGATTCAGTCAGTCAGTGTCATCTGTCTCTTCACGTTATCTGACACTGAGAGTGTGATGTTGAGATCGGTGCTCTGTGGTCAGCTGCAGGACTCCTTGTTTATTTGGCTTTGCTGTTGCGCTGCAGAAGGTTTTTGGGACTGATCAACATCTTCCTTGTAGTATTAAGTGTAACTTTTGCACTAAGTGCATCAAATGAAGCAAGATAAACATACAGTATTTTTATAGATGTAAACACAAAAATAGTTGTGTAAATGTAATCAAGAAATCAGATTGTTTTGTCCTGTTTAGTATGTGAACATAATTAGTCTGAAAACAACGCTTGCCGACTTTCTTTAGAGACATTTTCAGAACTTTTTCAGAAATTGTCACAACTGAGCTTAAGCCCGATTCTTAGCATTATTTCTTTCATTCAACCCGGTACAACTTGTCTTCTCCAATACTTACCTGAACCTGAAAAGGTCCTTACAAGGATTCTCTAGTTAGTTTCCTCCAGCATGCTCATATGTAACTTGAAGAAAATAGACTGAAAATAGACTGTAATTCCACTGTGAGTTTAAAGCTTGATATCTAATTATGTGACACCAGTGCTATGCTCATTGTTACATGATAGCACAACTGGTTTTCTCCATCATATGAAGCAAAAGTATGTCTTCTAAACATTCTGTGAAAGGTTCCTGTGTAGGTGTATCACACCTTACGTATGACTGTCATGGTTGTCTTATTGGTGATAAACCTCTCACCAGGACAACGTTGCTGTCTATAGAAAACCACTGCTGTTAGTTAAGACATCGAGATTTTTTTACACGGGTTTGGAAAGTCTTGATATTTCTTTCATTATGTCAGATCTTAAAAACAAGAAAAACAAAATGCAGGTGGTTGGTCGCAACAATTACTGTAGGTTTTAGCCAAATGTCAGTGTACATGCTGTGATCTACAGTACTTTATATTGTCAAGAGCAGTATATTGATGGGTATAGCCGTAGCTAGTTCAGTAAACACACAGCCACGTGGATTATGTAAGATAACGCCCCGATGAGCGCCCACCTCCCCCTCTGTCTGATTCTCCCCTTGCCTTCCTCCCCCTGCAGGGCACGCACATGCCCCTACTGCAGAAGAAGCAGGTACGCTCCCACAAGCCCATCGAGGTTTCACAAACATTATCACAACTGTGCCCTTCGTCTGTTCACCAGTCTCCCTTCATCTCCATCTCGTCTGTTAATATACAGCTTGGTACTGCACATTATGTTCCAGTCTCCAAGGCAAAGCCACCATGTTGGTTCCGTATATGTTTTGGAAAGATTTGCCGAGCATGCATGGTCATTCTCATCACACACGTTGTCTGTCAGTGATACAGCTGCACACTCTCCAAGTGGAGGGCTGCTGACTGCACAGCTCTTTGGAGCAGTTTGGGGCTCAGTTTGGTTTGTTCAGTGGCATCTCTCAGCAGTTGTTATGGGAGGAAAAACTCAATTTATGTACCTTCCCTCATCAGATATCCCCAACTGCTCTACAGAAGCAAACTGGTTATCTTCCACTTACAAGTCAGCTTCTCTAACAAGGCTTTAAATCAGCAATCAAGCTTTCTCTTCCTTTCCTGGCTCTGGATTGCAAATTCGGTGTTTCAGGCTGATACAATGTAAATGGTACACAGTGATGGCTACTTAGAATGCAGAACATAGCAGGCTGCACTCAAACATAATATTCATGTGTGTCATGGAGATAATGCTTGCAGAATGGAGATAGTGAGGACCGCTTTGTGCAGGGTACTTACTAGCCGGCTGCAGCAGCTTTGCATTCATAGAGCTGTGTTCAGAATAAGGTGCTGTGTGAGGAGGTTTCTCAATGTTAGTGCTTTACCCACCTGAATACCAAAGGCACTATTTACCAACACATTTCTACAAGAAGGGATACTTTGTTAGAACTGAAACAATTAATACATTTTTTGATGACTCGATTGACAGAACTTCTGCAACAGTTTTATAATCTATTGAAAGCTTTTTTTAATCTGTTGATCAGATACAACCACGATTTGAAGATGCTACCTAGAGCCTTAGGATCTAGCATTGGCCATTTTTTGGTGTTCTATCTTTTATAGATTAAACAATTGTTTAGATAATTGGAAAAATGGATTGATAATTTAACATTTTAATAAATTATACCCCTTATTTATTGAGTACAATGTTACTGGTTTACATTTTATCCTTCAGCAGCTGTTATATTTTGTACTCTATCTTCTCTTTCTATCTCACAACTTTATGATTTGCGAAGCCATGCTTTTTTGTCCTCATATACTACCCTTTTATTTGTTTATGTATTTTTAAATTACTGTACATTCAACACTGAAAAAACAAACAAACTTGACATTAACGAGGGGGGAAAATTAGAAATGGATAACGCACAAGATGTTTGAAGTTTTTGTCTTTAATAGGAATGACTTTAGACGTGACCACTGGGTGGAGCCGTAGTCTTAGGAAAGCAAACTACCAGCACAAAAGAAACATCCTCTCCATTTTTGCAGTTTTTAATCTGCATTTTCTCGTCAGTGATGTGTACAACTATGAGAGACATCAATAAGGGTAATGACTTCTATGTAAGGTCACCTCATTAGTATAATTCCTTGAAATCCCTTGTAAATTGTACCATCTTTGTATTCAGAACAAACGCCAACAGTTTCTCGCTGTCAGGGCAATCTCTGTCTTTTATGCTATGAAGAAAAGGGCCCAGGTGTTCATCTCATGCCTTTTCTTCACAGCTTTGTGCTCAGCTGTGCACTGATTCAGAAGACAGTGAGACACTTGATTAAACTGATTAACACATCTTCCGAAACAAAGTCCCTTTTCCTCTTTCAACTTGAAGTCGGCTCCTTAAATAGTTCAGATCTCTACTCCTTCCACCCTACATAACACAGCCCGTCTGACTTTTTTTTTTTGTGTGTGTGTTTGTGTGTGATGTATTTTTATTTTTTTAATGAAAAGTTTAATCAGCTGCCTCTGAAGTTAAAAAGGTACTGATGGCTGTTAAAGTAGTTAATTGTTGTCCTGTCATGTCTTGTGCACTAGTGACTAGTCAGTGTGGTTTATAGTGATTTAGTTGAAAATTGTGAAGTAGCATTTGCAAAATAATGGTAGAATTGTGCAATGTAATTAGGAACAGCTCTTTGTGGCAGCCAACAGAAAAACAATCAAGATCATCGGGTATCAGCAGGTCAGCATCCATCTTCAGAGGATGCTTTGGCTTTGTAAAAATTAAGATAGTAAGTCCTGAAGCAGCCTGTGCCGTGAGCAGATGAAAGCCATTTTCACTGCAGTAGTTAGTGGTGGTTTCACACATATAGACCAGCTGCACAGCTGACATGGAAAATATGCAGGGTGTGTTAGAATTAATCTCTCTGCAGCTCTTCCTGGTCATTCCTGTCATAGTAAATACTAAATAACCAGTCCTATGGATTTGTCAGTGCTCCTCTTAACATGCTCCAAAGCTGCTACTGCCAACCAATGCTATTAATTTTAAAAGCTACACATGTTTGTCATGCATGTTATTACCCTTGAAGTCCGTGTAAAGCAAATTTAGTTTGCCAAACCACAGAAAATGGTGTTAATAATCCCCCAGTTAAATGTGAATGATTAAAAAAAAATTGCCTTGTATATAACATTAGTATTTGAACATGTAAAAGTGAGCAGTATTCTCTGCTCTGAAATGCTGGAGGTTTGTCTGCTAAAGGTGTTGGTTGACAGCTTTCACACCAGCCCAAATAAACCATACTAACCATGCAAATGGACCTGAATTCATCTTAGTCAAACCAAAGAGGTCAGATGTGAAATTACAAATGCACACTGTAGATATAAATTATTTAGTAGCTTGCAAACTGTAGGCTGTCGTAGATGTAGTAACTTGCAACTAAGTGGGAGAACCACAGATGCTATTGCAAAGCGGTTTTTATAATGTTGTAGTATCAGGAGCAGGGGTCATGCACAGTATGGCTCCAGTGCCTCACTGACCCCCAAAAACCCCACACAAAGTGATGAAAAACCTTTATCAGTTCAGAAATACATATTTTAGTTATTTCAAGTCTTGTCAGCAATTATTATCTACCATGTATAATAAACACATTTCTGGATTTCCTTTACAAGGACTTTAAAAGACATGCTTTGCTGTTAGTACAGTATGCAACAGCTGTAGCCTGTGTGTTTTCTTCCATTTATTTGTCCACCCAACACCGTCTGACACTTTTCTGTCCAAAATGCTGCGGCAATTCTAGCAACAAAGTTTACATATTTTCATAAAGGTGGATGCTCAAACACACAGGAGTTATTGTTGTGTATTGTAGTTTGTTTGGTCGAAAAGCTCAACCAAGATCTAATCTTGAAAGAGCAGATTAAACAGAGAAACACAGAATAAAAACAGCAGCATATTAAAGTTGATATATCTGAAGACTAAGATAACTTTAGTGTACAGAAGATAATAACTTTAATATTTCATATTTATACTTTTTGGGTTATCACTACTTGGTGCCTTTTCCTCTGTGCAGTTTATCTCATTTTGAACAGAAATTGATTATTTTCCCCTAATGTGCTGTGCTGCTGTTTCCTCACATATTGTAAAGGCAAAGCAAATATAAGTAGTACACTGTTCTTGTAGTACTAAACTGGCTGTCTGTTTCCTCCTTACTTGTCTTTTTGGGCCTCTGTCTATGCTAGAAAAGGTGTTAATAATAGCAGGTTTGAAAAATAGAGTGTGTATGTGTTGATGCTGTAAATGCTAGTATCCATTAATGTTTACACTTTTCCCCAGAAAAAAAATGTGCATATTTGTCAGCATACATTACACCTTGTTGTGAACATATTTAATTGTTGACTCATGTGCATGTTAACACTGATATACTGGATCTATCTATCTATCTATCTATCTATCTATCTATCTATCTATCTATCTATCTATCTATCTATCTATCTATCTATCTATCTATCTATCTATCTATACCTCAGCATGCAAGAATGCATTCAAATACACAAGAACGGTCTAACTGATTGTTTTCATGTTAATGTATGTCAATATACGTACTCTAAGCTGATTTTACTGTGTGTGTGTGTGGGCAGTGGTTCGCGGCTTCTACAGCCTGCACAGGTGTGCGACGTGCTGAAGGGCCTGATCCTGGTGCTGTGCTTCTCCATGATGCATTATGTGGATTACTCCATGATGTACCACATGATCAGAGGACAGTCTGTCATCAAACTCTACATCATCTACAACATGTTGGAGGTACCCCAGATCAACTCATGAAACACAGTCATGCTTTTTTCAGTCATTCTTGTATTATGTGTCCAGTATATTTCTGCTTAATATCTAAATATGTATGCAGTGGTTATTTGTGCAAGGAAGATATTACTGCAAAATCAGCCTAAGCAAAAAATAAAAAAATAAAAAAATACAGTAAATAGGGTTTTATAGTTCTGTCTATGTAAATGTTTTCATTTTTGTAAATACAACTGACCAATATTGGTCGATCCCAATGCTGATTATTGATACTCAATGAGACCAATAAATGAAACCCATATACATTTTCTGTAAAAATGAGAAACATCGTGTCAAAATTTAGAAAACACAAAATCCAAAACAAAACTTTAGTAAAATGCTTTTCTTTATTTATTTTACACATGTGACATTAAAACAGAATATTTCAACATCATTCATCAGTGTTGACTGGCTATGACTTGTAGCATGAAACCAATGAGATCACAGAGGAGACAACAAATACAGAGAGAGGCGACTGCATCATCAGCATAATATATCGTGAATTTATTTTTTTCATTTTTTTTTATCATTTATAACATTAGCAATGCTGAGAATTGGAAAATTGCAGAATATCAGATCCATTAATTGGCTTATAATCGGTCTTACAAACGGTGTGAGTTGTCTTCTCTCAGCATTACTTTTAATTGGCTTTATATTGATTGCCCCTGAAGTAAGGGTGTAATAGATACTACAGAAAGGAGAAAAAAGACCAAGCACCGACAGTATTTACAGCCAGTAGTAGTCTACTACTTAGTACTTAAATAATACAACTCAGCTTTTCTCTGTGGAGCACAGCGAAAGCAAAACATAACCTAAAAGAAAAAAATCCCCCGTCATGATCTTAAGAGTGCGCTGTAAGAACCAGTTAGACTAGAGACACAAAAAACAAGCTATACAATTGTAATGAAAAACAAGAATTACTGCCTCACAGTTGTACGCCTCCACCAACTACTCAAGTTACACGCATGTCTATCCACCTTTGACCTTTGGCCTTAAGGACCGTATGGATATAAAATGTCATTGCATCATTCTTTTATTCTATTAGACTTTAGTGTAAAATTTTTCAGTTATGGCTAAAAATGTGTTTTTTGAGATCACTGTGGCCTTTGATCACCAAAATCTAATCACTCCATCGTTGAGTCCCAGTGAACGTTTGCCCCAAACTGTGAGAAATTCCCTTCAGGTGTTTGAGAGATATAGTGTTTGCAGGAACAGAATGGATGGACAGTTGGAAAAGAAACTGTCTGTAATGTACTGTCAACAACAATTTATAGGTTTTATTATTGTCCTGCAGCTTGGACAAACTGGACAAGGCCTCCAGGAAAGGACAGATGTAAAACTGTTGAGATATAATTTGTGTCATACTTCACATCTGAGGTTTTGTGGACCCATGTCATTTGTCACAATGTGTCATGTCTTGTGTAAAGACGAATCATTGGAATTGACAGGTGATCACCTAACACCTCAAATCTTAACTTTTTAATGAAAGGGTAATTAGATTTTGTGACTGTAAATTCACAGCTAACAAAAAAAAAAACAATATTTAATCTTGTAGGTAAGATTAACAAAAATAGTTGAAACCGATACGTATAACATAAGTTACGATCCCACCTGTCCTCTCCCTCTAAGGTTGCAGACCGCCTCTTTTCCTCCTTCGGCCAAGACATCCTGGATGCTCTGTACTGGACGGCCACAGAACCCAAAGAACGGAAAAGAGACAGTATAGGAGTCATCCCTCACTTTTTCATGGCTGTCTTTTATGTCTGTATCCTTCTTGTCAAAACTTTACAGCAGCATTATGGGTGTTTTAAGTCTTAACAGGCAAGGTTTGGAAGTCATCAATGAAGTTAGCAGATTTGTACTTTGAGATCAGTGCTGAGTAGCTTCTTCTTCATCTCTTTCTAACTTATTTTGACAGATGATGCGCAGTTCTAGGCTCATGTAATACTTGCTTTCTTCCTTTGTGCACTCTGTATAGCCACTGAAGAAGATGAAGTGCTGCGTGACTAAGCTGACAGTCAGCAGAATACAATTTGTTTAGATTTTTTTCTTAAGACTAGACAGACAGACTAGAACTGCAAGGAGAAAAACAAATAACTGAATAAAAAAGAGTGATGACCTAAGGTATGGACAAAGCCTAATTTAATCTGTATAGTATCAGATATATGTGTCCATATTTTTCTTTTCTTGTTTGTCTCATTCAGACATTTAAAGCCTAATATTGTAATTTTAGTGACCAACACTGTTGATAGTATATCGAGCAGAAAATCTCAAAGAATAAAGTTCCCATGAGGTGGAGTTTAGCAGTAATAATTTTTAAACCAGTTGATTTCCTGAGTATGTGTCCCTCAGTCCTTCATGCCATCCTAATTATGGTCCAAGCCTCCACTCTTAACGTCGCCTTCAACTCCCACAACAAGTCCCTGCTCACCATCATGATGTCTAACAATGTAAGTACACACATGCACACAAACTATATAACTAGATATTCTAGTGCACAACAAGCTGTCGGAAGAGATTGTTTGAGCAATTCAGCTCTTGTACAAACAAAATATATGCTGGCAAACAGCACTTATGCTTAAAAGCATTTGCATGCAGATGTATCCCAGAAAAATGAAAGCTGGCACGTTAGTGATGAAATGGTGCTGTTGCAGCTGCAATATGATATATATTTTTTTATTTCTTCATAAATATGCTAACTGCATTTCTTTCTTTTGTTTTTCTGTTCCCGCGAATACAGTTTGTGGAGATCAAAGGAAGCGTGTTTAAGAAATTTGAGAAGAACAACTTATTCCAAATGTCTAACAGTGGTAAGATATTCAATACCCCATAAAAACACAATTTTAATACGTTATTATTACAATTCGAAAGAGCACTGGTACAAAAAATACAACAAAAAGCACGTTGTCGTGGGAAAAAATTGAAAACATTTTCTAATACTTTGTTTTTCATCTGCTTTTGTTAGTCTATAAAAGGACAATATTCACTTTCCACAGTAATCATTCGCACCACCGGTCTACACAGTTTGGTGGAGAACCAGAATATTTTGTACAGAACTGTCGGTGATTGTCTGACAGAAAAAGTAAAGGTATAACTTACCTGTTGAAATACTGTTTTTGGAGGTCTGTTTTAAGCAGATATGTCCCTTGAATATCTTAGCACTAAATCAAAATAGTGGCACTTACACTACTTTATAATATTACTAATAGATGTATAATGTTCTTTATCATTTGTTAGACACACTTAGAGTCATGATCCAGGATGTGTCCTGCATAGAGACATTTTTTGGCATCTCCTAAAGGGATTTGAACCAACACCAAAATAATAAGCTTTGACAATGAATGAAGAAATTAAATTTTTCATAGCCAGTTTTGGAAATTGGGGTGTCATTTGCTCAAGCATTACAGACATTTTTGTTTATCCAATGGTTAGAAATAACAGGAGCATTAAGCATCGATTTCTGTCAATAAAGGTAAGACTTGTCACCTTTACTGTGGACCAGGAAGGCTTGAAATACCCAGTAATTATTTCATAGACGTTAACTAACATCCGGTGTTGTCAGTGTTCACAGCAAAAAGTTGAACAATAGCAACTTTTCTTCTCAAAAAACAGCTCTAATTAGTTGAATACATGTATGACAGGACATGATTCTTAATAAATACTTTAGCACCCAACTAGAATAGTAAAAACTTCTGAAGCTTGAAAATATCTAAGTATACAAAGGCTTAGTTCGCCTTCCTCACTGGGGAAGCTTTTCTGACTGTTTGTATGGTTTTGAAAGAATAATGCGGACAGTGTAACAGATTAAATACATTGTGAATTTCCTTTTATATTTCTCTGAGGCAGCATGTTGTCGCAGTCACTCCTATTGTAATGAAATGGAAGGGGAAGACAATAAGCCGTAATCAGCTGCCATTTGCCTCACTTTTCAGTCGCATCTGAACGCTGCCTGTTTATGACGCTGGGCTTAGCCTCTTCTAGCCTGCTGGTGTCTGTATAGATAATAGCATGCTAAACATCTGCAGCTGCATCCTTTAAATTGTAGTCGATTGATGTTTATAGGATGCCATACTGTGGTAAATGCCAATGTAACTGTGATATGCTGCTATATATTGTGTGCATAGTCACTTAAAAAGCAGTGCAAGTGTTTTCCGTTAGCTCATAGCACCTCTCAGGAAAATAGAACTGACAGATGCGACTCATTTTACACCTCTAACACCACCTGTAGAAACGCTAACTACAGCACCACACTAGGATACCTAAAACAACCGGCATTACGCTGTGCCTTAAATGAAGATGCTATACCTATCATGTTCTGTTTTTGGTTTTCTCCATAATTGGGAGATTTAATGGCAAATTTATTTTGTCCTGCAGATATCAAAGAGCGGTTCACCAGCTACGTTCTCCTGCTCATCGTTTGTCTCAGGAATATGGAGCAGTTTTCATGGAACCCAGGTAATTATCTCTTTTCCCCTCAAACCTTAAACCAGTTTAATGCACATTTCTGTATTACAGTAAACACAAACAAATAATGTAATTATCCAGGGTTCTTTGGTTTGTTTATCGTCTGTTTGAAAAATCTTTAAGTTTAAAAAAATGAATATTCCATCCCAGCGCTGGGGTCAGTGCTTGCCATTGTAAAAAATGTACACAAATATGCTGAGCAGCTTCTTTTCTGCTGTTTCAGCTGACCCTCTGCAACACCTTGGGGAGTTTTCTCCTACAAACCTCAGTCAGTGAGACAGAGCAGGGTGAGGGATGAGGTCTGGGAGTTTCTGTATGACAGCTCTCTGAAAACACTCAGCTCCTCCTGCCAGTCACAAAGTCAGACGCACAGTAGATGACAGACGTGGCCCGTCAGCTGAAATCATAACACTGATGTACTAATACTAGCAGAGCTACAGCCTTCTTTGGCTAAAGAGGTATACAGATGACAAGTAGTGTACTTACCCACCATGCTGCAGTAGTGGTGTCTGCACTTACTCCTTTTATTATAGAATAGAACCAAAGCACCTGCTCTCATCTAATTAACTAAGCACCTTTCATTTAATTAACTACAGTTAACTCCTTAATGATCACCCCGTTATTACTAAAAGGACTAAAAGCTTGGAAGCACTTTGTTTGTTAGGCTCTTACAGTGGAAACGGTGTGTAGCACACAGTAATTCACTAAGTCCTATAGGCATCAAAGTAGGTAAGGAGATACTAATTTGCTGTGTATGCCATTAAAGAACTGTAGCTGCTGTGGTATTGATATCTGAAAATGATTTACCCCATTTGAGGTGTGAGGCTTTGGGCTTTCAAGCGATGTATATTTTGTCAAATTTAATTTCGAATTGACAGATGCCATTGAACACAGTTTCTGCACATACACACATGCATGAAGCGTGGTGCTGCTCATTTTCCCAAAGTAATGTAACAATTATTCAGTGAAAAAAATACAAAGCTTTCATAATTAATTAATTATCAGGATGAAATGGCATCCACTGGTTCCAGCTTTGTAAATGTGATGAATTGCCAGGTTTTGTCATTTTATCATCATCATGAATTGAAACATTTGAAATTTGTATAACTGCATAAGTGTAACATCAGCTGTTGCTTCAGTGATCATCCAAAGGACACTTGCACCTGTTATGTGGTGAGTCCAGAATACTGAGTGAAGTCTTGCCTGGCTTGTGCGCGCTCTCTGCAAACCTGCCCTGAACGAATGAAGGTTACACTTATTTACATGTAACACAAACACTGTCTTCTTCCCTCAGACCACCTGTGGGTGTTGTTCCCTGACGTATTCATGGTCGTGACCTCTGAAATCGCTGTTGACATCATTAAACACGCTTTCATTACAAAGTTCAACGACATCACTGCAGATGTAAGAGCTACACCACCTGTTTTTTTCTTTCATCAACTACCAATTAATGAAATGCTCCTCAGAGTACATGTACACTATATGAGGCACATTGCCTATTTTCTCTCATAGTACATTATTGTCCTTGTCTATCTTCCAGGTGTACAGTGAATACAGAGCCAGTTTGGCCTTCGATCTTGTCAGCAGTCGACAGAAGAATGTAAGCAACAGTCTCTCTTTTCACATCACCATCATTATACTTACATAAACAGCACTGAGCCCACGCAGCTAATCAATTCAGTTTTGTCAAGTGCTGTAATTTGTGCTCGTTTGTCACTGTGTAGGCTTGCACTGACTACAGTGACTCAGTGGCCCGAAGGATGGGCTTCATCCCTCTGCCATTGGCTGTTCTGGTAAGAGAGGCTACCTTCTGTTGCTATTCAGGAAATAACTACCAGTAGAGAGCTAGTCATTGGCACATAAACATTTTCTAGCAAACAATTCTTTAATGACACAAGCTGAAAATAGCACTGCATAATTGAGATATTTTTTTCATCAAGTGAAAACATGAGATTTTCCATTTGCTCTGCTTTTTACATTTTTTAACAGCTTATCCGAGTGGTGATGAGTTCAGTGAAGGTGCAGGGAGCACTGTCATACACCTGTGTGTTCCTCTTTTATCTCGGGTAAGTCTTAAGCTTCGCGTTACTGCTGTTCAATTGTAATTTTTATTGTAGATTTCCAACCCAAAATCCAAACTGAGCTTTTAAGCCTCACATTACTTGTTTATTGTTCTGTAAATTACATTTTCATTTTGCATATGTTGTCAGTTGTTTAATCTGACTGTGAAAAGTAGCTCAAGAGAAGATTTAACAACTGAACTGATTTTGGTTGTGTAAGTTGTTCTTGCACATTAATCTGGTGATAGGATGTGTTAGTTTTTCCACCCTGTCCTTGTTTGACCTACAGGCTTAAATCACTGCAATACTGGTCAAAATATTTTAAATCCTAACACTGATTTCGTTTGGTCACTGAATATTTAAACATTTTCTTTTATTTTTATTATGGTGTGTCAGATATGCACAAAGGCTCCCACAGACATCATGTTCAGGATACAGGCATGCTTGAATAGTCTCATTAATGCACACTAACACATGCAGGCACTGTCGTAAACATGCATTCAGATTCAGACACACACGCAGTTACATAAGCACCAACACTGTGCCCTCACGCTCTCCCTGTGCTGAGCTCCTGATAGCCTCGCTCATTCTCATTTGCCGGATCCCATCGGGCTCGTACCATTGAAGAGTTTCCCTCAGGGTGAAGAATACAATGTTGTCATCTCTAGTGCCATCTCTGGCCTTCCCTATACCCTGATTTAAAAATAGCTCTGGCTTGAACAGACCGCTGTGCCTTGGCAAAGACTCAGCCTCGCTGACACGCTCTCAGTCCGAAATACCCCGTCACAGCGAGCAGTGGTCCACAGACCCAAATGTGTCTGTCTCTCACTCATCACACTGTCAGTGTCTGGGCCTTATAGCAAAGCCCAGAAACATCGAAGGATGGTGCGCATCAACATCCTGGTGTGAGTGGTGGGATTTGAACAGTGGTGATTAAAACCAGAAGGGAGAGAAGATCCATTATATTTGTGGCCAAGCTCATAATAGCATTATGATCATTTTGCAACACTTAAGATTTAAATAACAGAAAGAGAGGTTCACATAGGCTGTTTACATATGATATATGTAGTTATGTTGCTATATTTTGATCAATAACGTGAAATGCTGAAGCATTGACAAAATGCAAATAATGTGTGATTATGACTATACTAATTTAATCTACCATAAACAAGGAGTCAAGAATGAGTGTCATCTTAAATCAGAGCTGCAAATGCTTTGTTAGAAATTAGGTGCAGTGGTTCAGCAGTACTTTTGCAACTCCACATCAGCTGCTAAAGAAAGGGAAAGAGTTTTTGGTTCTTTCAGTCAGATATGTACCACTGAAACTGCAGGCTTCTTCCTCTGTAGGCTGGTGACACTGAAAGTGTTGAACAGTATTGTGCTGCTGGGGAAGTCGTGTGTATACGTCAAGAGAGCCAACATGGAGGACAAACTGTTTGAGAGGCCCCCACCGACCCCCTCCTCCTCTGCCAAGAGCCCCAGCAAAGCCGATCCTGCCAGATGTTCAACACCTTCAGGTAAACCAGACACAACTAAGTACCAGTCAGGAGAAATTATTATTATCGCTGTATCTTTACATCTGAGGATGCATGTGTTCTAAAAACGTGTGTTTACACCCAAATTAAGGTTCCATAACATGGAAACACAATATGTCAAAAGACAGATAGTTAATTGGTATATATGCGTATATGTGTTGATCTATATCATGTTTAACCTACCACATACATGTATAATGGATCTTTTACAGCCTAAACTAGATTACAGTGCCCATGACGTTTATGACTACATGACTAATCTCTTGAAACATTATTACAATCCATGAACATTAGCATGCCATAGAACGGCATCCTATATCAAAAAGTGAACATTTCTTGTATGTGGAGATAGAAAGACCTATAAACAGAATGGCAGAAATGACGAGTAAATCAAATGCATTTCAAACAAATTCTAGATGGCGTTTCACTTGCTGTTCATGCTATGGCCTTTTTCTGGTTAAACGCTTAATTGCTCACTTTTGCAATACTCTCCTATCCCTAACAAAATAAAATTATCAAATCATTACAGATTTATTAAAAGAGAACACAGGTTAACCTAGTTTTAAGGGCCAGTGTTTCCAATCACTTTATGTAATTATGCAATCATCTCAGCCTGATAATACTCGGCTGTTTCACTAAATAAACTATATGCATCTATCAGGGTTCTTACTGGAACATTGAAGGTAGATTTGAGGAAAGTATATCAACATATTTAGATTTATCATGGGATTTTGTTAATACCCTCTTCTTTATTCTAATTGTTAGTCTAATGATAAGTTTGACACTTTCTATCTAGTTTTTCACAAGATAATATATAAGTCATGGTTATATAAGCCATATGATATATTTTAGCACTAAAACTAGACTAGTCACATAAGTGGACATTCTTCACTTTACTGTGAAAATCTCAGGGATTGTAAGAACCCTTATCTCAGGCCATCATGAAGTGTGAACACGACAGTTTGATTTTGGATCTAATGCAGCGCTCATGGATAGGTTGTAAATGCTTCAGTAAGAAGGCTGCTAGACTTCTGTTTGGTTTTTGAAGATTTTTCACCTTGAATGCAAGAGACTTCCTCAGTTCTGACTGGCTGGTGGGGAGTCTTAGGTATTTATTCTAACCTCCAACTCACAAGTCAAGGTGTGAATGGTGGTGACACTGCCTCGACTGCACTATAAGTACATGATAAGTGATGCAATGGACCACGTCCCCTGTTTAGAGAAGACTGTTCCAGTTTAACATAGATGCCTTCCTTTACTCCTCTCTCAAACCATCAGTCTTCTCTGTCCAGTATGTGGACATTGCTGTCCTCAAAGGAGTGTCTTATTCTTTGGATGCAGAAAGACTGCTGAGTGTTGTCCCTCCTGTGTTGTGCCATGTGATTGTGAAGCAGTGTAAAGTGGTAGTTTTGCACTGCAGAGCATTGCTGAAACCTTGAGCCTGAGTTTCTTTGCCTCAGCCAGCTTGTTGTTCCTTATCGCTGATTCTGTGACTGTAATGAGGTTCACTACCGGGAGATATAGCAAATTTGAGTCCTTTAGCTGAGACAACCTTCTCTGGTTGGGTTAGGTTCTATCCCACAGGTTTTTCACCCACTTGTCCTAAATGTCTACCAGTTTAGTGTCATGTTGTTTCTGTCTGGTTGGCAATGTTCAGAATTTCTGTATGCCTTTCGTTACCCTTTTTCTGTTCTGCTAGTTGTGCCTTCCCAACAAACTTAGAAACATCGTGTATGACTGTACTGGGTAGAAATGCTTTCAGTCAGTCCTGTGTCTTCAGTGGTATCTCTTCTGCTCTGTGGCCTTTAACAGTGGAGTCAAGGCGTAAACTGTTGGGCACAAGTCTGTGTACTCTGCTTCTCAGGTTGAAGCAAAGGTGGTTTTCTGTAACCTGCAAGTTACCTTGACATCTCAAACTCGCACAGCATTCAAAGGCCATTCATCTCAAAGTGCAAGGCAGTATATCTGTGTAGATTCTCTGTCATGCAGGTAATGATAATCATGGTAATCCTAAGCAGTACAGATGTGCTTCATAATGATTTACATTTTTGTAGCTACTGTGCAAGCAGTGATGGAATACAGCACATGTATTCATTTTGAATCACACAGAAGCTTTTAATCACAAAACTTTGGTTCTGGAATAATTGGGAGCTTATATTTTATTTTGGAGATGTGAAAAGCGTTGAGACTTGAGAGAGCCTCCTTCTGGTTGACAGGAATAGATATCTAGTAAATGAGACATCCTGGGATTTAATCTCGCTAATGAGTAACGGTGCCTGTTGCTTTCTGCCTCCTACTCAGTTGCTGATCTATCTTGTCTGTTTGCACTTTAACACTGTGTGTCTAATAATACAGTAGTGTCTTAAAATGATCTTAAAAAACAAAGGAAACAAAGCACTTTTATTTTTATCTCACGCGAGGGTGGACAATAGTAATTTACATATTTTTTGAATGCTGCTAGTTAATGCTTCCACATCCTGAGTTTGTATATTAAAGGCTTCACAGTTTCAAAGCAACACCAGGCTTACTAGCTTGCCTAGATGTTCATATAAGAATTGTGCTTGTATGAACATTTTCAAGCATCTCGCTGACACTTTGATTTACATGTGAGGCATTCGGCTGACACTTGCATCTGGACAAATATGTCAGGATATAGCAGTCCAGCTTCAGGCAACGAGTGGTGATGCAGAAATCAAACCTGTGACCTTTTGGTTGTAGGTAAGTGTCTCTAAAGACCAGGCTATAACTCATTTGCTTCCCAAACATCTACAAGATGCAACAAATCTATCTGCACTTAACCATTTTGCTGGACATTGTCTTACACATCAAAGCACATTTTTTAGGACTGCACAAAATGGTTTACCTAATTATCATTCTTTGCATGATGCTTGTGTGCATCAGCTTGTGGGCTGCAACCAATGCCTATGACAATATTAATTACCCTGCCAAGTATTGTATATACTGTGTAGACCAAACCTGCAAATCTTTACATTTGAGAAGCAAATCTTTGCTAATTACTTAGTAATGTGACATTAAATTATTGTGATGTTCAGGTGTTTAAAATGTTTAGGTTTCATCTTTGATTCTAGCACATAACACAATGGCTTTAATTTGTCTTATGCATCATCCCTCCAGTGAGTCACATTTATAGTTGTTTTTTAAATATTAATCAGGGTTTTGACAGAAAAAAGTGCAACTATTTTAACTCATTTGTCTTTCTTTTCTTTTTCTAAGCTAAAAAATGAGAGTTACCTGAGACAATGTCAGGAATTGCAGATTTTTTTCTATGTAAGTGTTTTGTGATTGTTTTAACTGCTGTTCAGACTAACAAAAATAAAGACATTTGGCAACATCCCCTTTCCTTCTGGAGATAGATGTTATTTAAACTATTTTTCTACAATTATAAAGTAAACTATTTAGAAGCAGATTGATAATGAAAATAATTAGCAGCCCTACACTTGATGCAGTGGAACTTTGTGTCCTTACAGTGATAGAAATTTTGGCCTGTTATGACAATTCAGCTTTGTATTGTAGACACTAGAACCAGTGGTGTCTTCGAAATCATCCTATATGTCACATTGTGACAAACAATCTACGAAAAATAAACAAAAACAAACCCTCTTCAATACATGTAGACATTTACACATGAATTCCCTCATTAACATTCATGTTCGTATCTTGACAAAGTGTTAAACAGACCCTGTACCCTCAGTAACACACGATCAGACACAGATTTGGAGGTGGCAATATCTTTCTGTCATCCGCAGCCAAATCCCCGCAGATCTTTTCTCCCATGTGTGCCACAGACCCGTCTGCTGCGGTGAGCCAGGAGCTTTAAAATGACAAAGATCCTGATGGTGCATCGTGTCATCAAACATCAAAGCTCCTGCCAGCGCTTATGTTTCAAATGAATCTGGTTTTTCAGAGAGCTGCAGCTACATGGCTTAGGGCCTCGCACTTCAGCATATAGAGTGTAATAATAACTACTTTGAGGTTGTGGGAAATTAATGTGAGTCTCCTTCTGCTTCCCACACATTTAGCTGCTAGGATTTGAACCAACGACCTCAGATATGCTGCTCACTTTTCTGATGTTAAACTACTTTGGTGTTGGCCTCAAGCTTCACCTGCTGCTCCACTGGATTCAGTGCACAATTATGTTCATCTACACGTCTTCGTCTTTACAATGGACTGGATTCACATCACACTAAGATCTGCCATCTGTCTATACTGCATGTTTTTGTCCAAAGGGCAGAAATGGGTAATGAGCAGTTTCGCATCAGCCATTTCAAGCCATATGGTGGTTAACTTTTATTAAAGCTCACATATCTCCAGAGAAGAAGTAAGGAACTCTTTAGTAGCACAGTCTGTGACTCCAGTAACACATTTAAATCGTTTTTTGTTCAATGCTTTACAACAAGAGCTGCAAAAATGTATATATGTATATATATATACAATCGTTTGACCACTCAACTACAAAATAAGATATTTAAAACATTGCCTTCTGTAGGAAATTGAAACAAATGCTTAAGAAAATAATTAGTAGATTCATTGATAATTAAAATACTCTTTGTTGCAGATAACATCACAGGTCCTCATGCAAATGACAAAATTCAGATCGATATGTTGATTTGTGTTGACAAATACACAACTATATGTAAAAAGGCTTCAACCTACCTGGACAGATTTCTTCTATCCATTTGGGCAGAGCAAAACAATCTAGAGAGACATTGCATGCATGTTATTACCTCACAAAAGTCTTTGCTCACTGAAGGACAAAGCACAGCCTGATGAACTTTTTGGGCTGCACGGTGGCTCAGTGATTAATACTGTCGCCTCAAAACTAGAAGATCCCCGGTTCGCGGTCCAGTTAGGACACCCGGGATCTTTCTGCATGGAGTTTGCATGTTCTCCCTGTGCAGCGTGGGTTCTCTCCGGGTTCTCCGGCATCCTCCTACAGTCCAAAAACATGTTGAGGTTAATTGGTGATTCTAAATTGTCTGTAGGTGTGAATGTGAGTGTGTTTGGTTGTCTGTCTCTAAGTGTAGCCCTGTGATAGACTGGTGACCTGTCCAGGGTGTCCCTGTCTTCACCGTGAGTCGAATGGGATAGACTCCAGCCCCCCATGACCCTAGTGAGGATTAAGCGGTGTATAGATAATGGATGGATATTTTAATTTTGTCCCTGGTTCAATTTTTAAATAAAAAGTGATAGCTTGATTGTGCTCTCTTGTGGATGTGCAGTTGGACAACTGCTGACACCACAGACGTGTAGTTGTTACTATAATGCTTTCTACTCCGCTTGGAGGACTCTGTTCCATACATGTGCAGTAAAGTACATATTTTGTGCATACACAGTACTGCCTTTGTTGGGTAGCTGCCACATGGACACAGATTTTGAGTGTACTCAGATGTCTGTGGAGGGGTTGAACAAACTGTTACAGGCTTGAACATACGACGAAATTTACGTCACATGGACCCACATGCACTGGCAAATGCAGAAATTGTAACACTGGCCTAAGTAGCCTTCTCAGTACACAGCTGTATGCATCAAGATGGGAGAAATATTGTTGATGCTGTTAGGTGGAACAGCAAACTCCAGCTGTGGCACCTTTCTTACTGATCTACATCATACAGGTTGTAAGAGGCTAAGTTGTCATTGGTCAGGGCCCAGCATGTAGTCAGTCTTGAATCTTGTCCAAGTCAGGATAAAAAAATTAGGTCTCTCAAATCTGTGACATTTATCGCAAAAGACAATGTCAAGTAGCCTGATCCCAGTGTGAGTAAATAGTCCAGAGACGGTGTGGGGTGTGCACCATCAACAGGTGTGCCTTTTTATAAATCGTTCACTGATTCAACACTGAATTATTTAGGTAGAACTTCACCTCAGATTTTCTAAAACTAAAACACACATTTAAACTGTACACACTACAGCCGTTCTGTACTGTAAAGTGTCTGTTCAGCTCTGTCTACAGTAACAACTGGAAGTTAGTTGTAGTTAGATAGCCTGGGGCGAGACAGTCGTCTCTGTGGACGGTCCAACGCTGCTTCGCTCAATTCTCTCTGATATGATGAATTATTCTGTTTGCTTAATTTTCCTAATGCAACTGCGCTCGCTCTGTACTCTCCAAATGAGGACCCTTTGCAGTGTTTTCTCTTAACATAATGCAGTGAATTGTGATGAGAACCAACTGTGCTGCTATATGTTTTACGTCCGTGACTGCTTCTAATTATTTTCCCTCTGTGCTGCATTCAAATTGAGCAGTTAGGTGGGTGTCGGTTGGCAACTAAGAATCAATGTATGACAGCGGCTGGATGAATACGTTTATCCACACTGTGGAGTCAGCAGATTACATTCAGTCTTGTGCTACAGAAAAAAAAAATCGATTGATCAATTAGGAGATTGAAAATTGACAAGGGACAGTCCTGGTTTGTGTCTTTCTCTGTCCATTTCCTGTCATCTCTACTCTCAACACTGTAATAAAGGCATAAAACGTAACAACACAGATTTTTACAACAGATTGAAAACACTGAACATTTGCTGCAGATTCTCAAATCTGATGAGCTGCTGCCATTCTGAGAGCTTGTGATCTGTCTTATTGTTGTTCCTCTCTATTGACACCATATAGACTGAGCAGTTAATCCAGCTTCATCAATATAGAAACATATCACTAGATAAAGCCCAAATCCAGTTCAACACCATCGTAAATAAACGTTTTTTACAATTAAAAAATTACATTACAGCCACGTACATTTTAGAATTCTCTTGTTTGCTTACTTGCTGAAGATAAATAACATTGTCATGTTTGCGCGTTAAGTGTGAAGTAGCACTGAGTGTCTAGCTTAGCTTAGCATAAAGATTGGAAGCAGGGGGAAAGAGTTAGCTCAATTCAAAATTCAAAATACACTTAATTGTACCTGTGAAGCTCTCGAATAAACATGTTGCATCTTGTTTGTCTAATCCTTACGCAAGTCAACATGTAACAACAGCTGTTTTTATGATGTATTTTATGCACATTTTAAAGTATCACTATAGATGTTTAAAAGAAAATAAATTACAAAAAAAAAACACTTTGCAATTAAAGTTTTTGTGCTCATTTCAGGTGGTTTTTTTGACTTCTTCATAAAACACTTAACGTGGATAATGGGTGATTATAATGCTTTTTCCAAAGTTCTGAGGTTATTTCTGTTTAATTCGTTGTCTTCATCTCTGACCAGCACAAAGTACGTCAGCAGTGTTTTATCATTCACCTGTTATTTGAAAGACTTCTTCAGACTGGTATTGGAGTCCTGTGTGTATTGTATATACTTATGTGGGGTCTCTGGCACCTTGAGAGCTCTTGAAGTCACATGTGAGTTGTGAACCCTCCTGGTCATCGTGTAATGTTCGGGCTCTCTGAGTCAATGTGTGATTGAGTGTGGGAAGAATCCCAGAACTGCATTATTAGCGGCTGATAAGTGATGTTGTGGACCACCACCTCTGTCTGGTGATGGTTGTTCCAGTTTGACATGATTGTTGTTGTTCGTCTAGAAGTGTCCCTTGTCCTTCAGATGTAGCTGCACTGCTGAATCCTGACCTAAGATATTGGCTCTCCTGTGTTGTGTCATGCTCTTAGAAGTGGTTGTTTTGTTTGTCCCTTCACCACCACAGGTTTGTGCATCCCTCCTGCTTTGAACTGTGTATACCACAGCGCTCTGGGGCAATAGAGGCTCAGCGAGTGAGGCTCTGGGTTAATAATCAGAAGGTCGGCAGTTCATGCCTCAGTGCCACCTACCTGCCACTGTTGGACCCTTGAGCAAGGTCCTTAACCCTGCCTGCTACAGGTGCCTATTGATGGCTAACTCTGTGCTCTATCCCCCAACTGGGATATACAAAAAGAGAATTTCATGGTACGGTAATGTAGCTGTGACATGTAAAAGGTTCTTCTTCTTATGTCTGGGTGTTTGTCTTTAGGACAGGCTTCTGCTTCAGCGGGTTGCTGGGCTTTTAGTGAACAAAGATGAGCTGTTTGTTAAACACCATCCTTAGTATTTCAGCTTACTTTATTGTCCTTAGATGACACCTGGGTCAGAATCAAAACACAGAAGGTGGAAGCCTTCACATAGTACATCAGTTCAGCTCGCAGGACAGCGAGAAATTCATTCTGCAGAAGTCAGAGAAAATAGTTTGGCCTTCTTGCATTGTGCACACTGACGATGATAGAAGCTTCATCATATAAGTATACAGATAACCCACACACACAGATCAATATTTACCATTTTAACTCAGCACTCAGTGGAGCACAAGCTCCGGGTTATCAGAATTCTGCACCAGCGGGCTCAGAACAAGGACAGAGAAGAAGGAGCATAAACACATCCAGGAAGCAATTCAAATGGCCCAAACCAGGCCTTTGTCAGAACCACAAACAGACACAGAACAGACAGAGAGGAAAAGAACAATCAATGGAACAGCACTGTTATTCCTTACATTGTAGGAGTATCTGAAAAACTCAGGAGAATCTTCAACAAACACAGCACGCCAAGGCAGAAGCTTATCTACCCTGAGGACAAAACACCCAGGCATAGGCAGAGCAATGTAGTGTGCACAGTGCAATGCAGAAAGGATGAACGGACCGGTACATGAGGGAAACGGAACAACACAGGAGAATCAACTCCTCACATCAGGACTCAGCAGTCCTCCTGCATCTGAAGGACAAAGATGTCTTATTTCAGGACAGAAACATTCTGGCCAGAGAAGACCAGTGGTTGAAAAGAGGAGTGAAAGAAGCCATCTCTCACATTTGTTTCATCAAACCGATACTGTTCTGTTTTAACAAATTCAGCTGTCTGCACACGTCTTGCATCAGTTCCTGTTTCAGCCTCACTATGGATACGTAAACATGTCTATTTTGTGTGTGCGTTTTACTCACATTGGTACAGTGGTTGACCTGCACTCAGTACCAGGCCTGAACTCATTCTGTGTTGACCCAGACGAGGGAATGAAGCTGCTGCTGCATTGATGCTGCGTTAGGGTTAATTCATCACAATCACTATTAAATATGCTGAGCAATGCAAAACTCACTCATCTGCATGTTATTTGTTTTGTCGTTAAATGAATCTTTTGCCCGCTGTTGTTCACAGGTGAACCTAAGGTGGAGCAGGTCCCTGCCACACCCTGCAGCCCACCCCCCTGCTCCTCTGTGACCACACAGCCAGCCCCCAGGACTGATTTGTTTCCTGTCTCGCCCACTGACGACTCCCCTATGACACCAAGTAACCGTCCTCCTACTCCACTACCTGAAGCTGAACCTGAACAACCTGCACCCCCACTCTCAAAGGAGGAGGAGGGGGAGGAACAAGCAGCCTCTGAAATGAAGCACAGGACTCCCAAAAAAGACCTGCTGGAGATCGACCGCTTCACTATCTGTGGTAACCGCATTGACTGACCAGCGGCAGCCGTTGATGTAGCGATTAACCACTCAGGAAAGACGGAGAGCAAAGGCCTCCTAGCCTGGCTCTCCTGGCCAACAGCAGCAGAAAGCTGAGTATTTATTTAATTCAGTGGCACTACAGTAAGTTATTGTGAACATGGACACACAGTGTCAGACGATCCTGCTGTTGTTGGAGCCTGAAGTCGACAAGCTTGACAAAGAAAACTTCAGCTGGCTGATAAACAGCGGGAGACAAAGTGTGAGTGCGGCAGCCCAGTTGTTAGGATGAACTGGCATGTGTCAGTGTGTGTGTGTGTGTGCGTGTTCAGATGGTTCAGTATTTGGAGTGAGTGTTTGGGTGTGAGACTGTGTGACAGCGTATGTGTGAGCGTGACAGCACACAAGCACTTCCTGTATGAGCAGCACTGGGACCAGAAGGAGAGAAGTTTCTCAGTTAGCTCTGCAGCCAGAGAGCCAACAAACTTACAAACTGATATTAAAGGTAACACCTGAATCATACATTTCTTTTTCCAGAAGAAAACAAGATGTTCGGGTTTATTTTTAAATGTCAGATGTTATCCAGCATATCAGTTCACAAGACAAACTGCTGAGACTCTGAGGTTGATTATCTGGAATTAGCAAAAAAGAAACAACAAAAAAACACACCAACCTGAGGTTTAGGACCGTCTGCATGGACTATAAAAGATTAACAAGGTGAAGCAGAAAATAACATTTCTGCTGCACACAGTTGTTGTGTGTCTAACGTTTGCCCTTTTTTTTACTGTGAATTACTGGATAGATTTACATTTTGGGTGTCAAAAATATGTTCAAATTACATTTTAAAAAATTGGGGGGAAAAAAACGATGTAATTTTGGGTCACAACTGGGTGATGAGAGGGTTTCAGTCAGATGGTTTGTTTTAAAGGTCTAGAGCTAAAAGGGTTGTGAAATCCTGCTCTGAGCAGTCACACACTGTTAGTCTAGTCTATGCATTGCTGCTCACTCTATTAGTCGCTCAGTTCAGTTCTGTTTTTTACAGTCTATACCTCAGTGGAACTAGTTTGAATTTGAAGTGAAGCATCGATGCTTCCAACATCATTTAGCAGCATTACAAAAATGACTAAGAGCAGTGACTTTTAAATTAGAGCCTTAAGTAGAGCTTGTCGTTTACACAGCCATTAGATAAAGTAATTTGCAGCCCTCACTGCGCCTTCAGACACGAACAGACCTTTCATTAAAGGACCAAGTCAGCGTATGATATGAACAGAAGACACCAGTCAAATGCTGGTTAATTTGGGCTGCTGACACCATATCTGCTGCTTCACACGAAGAGCAGAGGTCCATTTAAAACCAATCAAAGAGAGAAGTTGTAGTTTGTGACTGATACATATTGAACATAATCCTAGTTTCCTTATTGCTTTGGGTACATATTTCAAATCATTTTATATATATATATATATTAGGCGACAAATTCATCATTTTTAATATCTCTAAAATGCAGATAATCCTTCAAAAAGGTCGTCACTTTGTGGTACTTGGATTACAACAGAGAAATGGTATTTCATCTTTCATTACTTTTGGTCTCGAGAATGTTTGCACTGATCGACTGTATTGTCTTTAAATACGGTCATGTTTCTCATTTGATTCTCAAGTAATGCTCCAATGTTTACATCTTAGGATAATAGAAGCAATATTTCCACAACAAAATGCCTTTTCTGCATGTGTGTAATTAGACATGTTTAAATTATTTGCTACGAACTTTTCTTTAATTGCGATGAAAAACCTATAGATAGACTATATAGTAGACCAGTCACGTCAGCAAGCTTTCATTTGTCACCCGTGTATGTAAGTGATTGTAAACAAAATAGAATTATTACTCATTTTATCAAAGCTATGCCAAAGCTTTCAGAACAAAGTTCATCTTGACTCCACAGCAGCTGTGTGAGGGTGGCAGATTCAGATGAACAAATCCATCACTCAAACTAAAGAATCAGCTCAAAAAACTCCAATCACTTCTGTTTGACTTCACTTTCCTGATGCACTCTACCTATCACTGAATTTATCTGGGAACATTAAAAGGTACTTTCCTGCCTGTAAGACACTTAAAACAATAATATATTTAATGTTGCTTTGGCAAAGACATATTTAAGCAGAAGGAAGATGTATATAGTGTTTACACATATCAGCATCTCTTGGATTCTATTTTGGAGAAAGATTTCTTTATAATGTCCATTATCATTGTAATAAGGAAGATTGTTCTATTTTTGGAGCTGCAAGTTGTTATATTAATATATTTGCACATGAAATCTGACTCTCCTCAGGCTTTCATGTGCTTTTGTCAAATGTCTCGTGTCCACTGGCCAGAGTTCAGCATTGTCGCGGTCGGTCGGGTTTAAGGTGTCCGCTGTGGGCCGGGTCGGTGCTGCTGGTCCCGGTCCACAGCGGAGTCCAGTCGAACCTCAGTGAACCACAGCTGAGCTCTGCTGAGCTAATGGAGACGAGGATGAAGTGTTCTTATGCAAGCTGCGATGGTCTAGTACACTGCCTGCTTTGTTTCATCAGTTTGGTTCCATATTTAATTCCTACCTTGATATTGTAAGAAAGTGCCCCTTTGGAATAAAATAACTTGGTTTCTTAAGTGTGGTGTTTTTATCTTATTACATGCAGCAGAAAGAATAATAATGTGGACATATATTTTTCTTTTTCTTTCTGCCTTTTCTTTTTGCAGAGATCCTTTACTTGTACCGAAACAGTCTCTTCTCTCTGTTTAGAAGTTGACTTTAATTTTCAGCCTCAGACCACGTGCCGTCCAAATCAGTTTCCTGATTTGGAATCGGAATGAGTCCATTTTTCTACAGATGTGAAACTGCAGTTAAAGTTTATCTCAGGTACTTTGTGACTACACTTAATTTACTTCCCCTAACGCAGTTTCTTACTTAAAGGTCCTCATTTGACACCTCTCCACCTGTTACATGTAATGTTCTTGTGCTCAAGAAAGAATTGTATGTCTAATACAACTGGGAGAAAGAAAAGGACAGTGTCATTTAGTCCAGGTGTTTCGCACAGATGCCGCTAATGTCAAGACGTGAAAACTCTGCCCATAGCGCAGCACCCTGAGGCTCTGGGAACGACAACAAGAGAAGGATGTGTGAGAGTCGTGGTCCAGGATGGAACAAAGAGCAGCCAGGAATACATCAGGCAGGTGGCCCCCTGGGATGAACTGATCAGAGTTCCTCAAGAAGCACAAGACAGAGGGTGATGAGGAGGAGGAGAACATGTAATGAAAGACCAAACCTCCCCATGTGATGGACCACTGGCAGATAGAGGAAGTGGCTGACATCAAGAAATCCAAGCAGTGGCTGGAAAAGGCCGAGCTGAAGGACAGCACAAGCCCTGAACACCGGAGCAGCAGAGACAGAGGTCTACCACAGCAGACAGGAGCTAGCTGCACACGGTTAAAAAAAACAAAAAACAATCCAGTCTTCTATTCGTATTTTTAGCCGAGGTGTGTGCAGCCCTTTTACACAGAAATGAGTCACGATGTGTTTTTTTGTTTTTTGTTTTAAATTGAGCTGCCTGTATACAGGAAATAACTACTTTTTATCAGCAGAATTTGATCAGCCTCTTGGCTTTTATTTCGCCAGAACCAACTGATGGTTGCTTAGGAACTTTATCTGCAGTCTGTATGTGTTAACTTGCCCATAACACACAAACTCAGTGAAAAACTTTACAATTCACAGTCCTGAGTCAGAAACTGCTCTCCTGAAACAACAATCGCCCAAAAATGAAAGTACACTGTCTTGTTTTGCCACAACCTTACACTGGGCTTGTGCTGCAGGTGTAGCCAGTAAAATAAAAATATGTTCTGCAGCACATCCGCTCAACGAACGGCTCATATAAGTTCAGTGTAAGCATCAAAAGAAAGGAAGATGAGAAGATGAAGCAGTACCAGGGGCTGAAGAAACAACTGGAACAGATGTGGAAGGTGAAGTCCACAGTGATCCCTCTGGCGATAGAAGCACTCAGAGGGTGAGAGTGTTTCCAGCAGATTCCAGATACAACATCTGAGATCTCTGTCCAGAAGAGTGCAGTCTTAGGAACAGAACAGCTAACATACTGCGCAGAACTCTCAAACTGCTGGAGGGCCTGATCTTGTAGAAGATGCACCACTCTCTGATGTGACAGTGAGAGAGAGATTGCTTGATTTTTTTATATGCAGTTTATACAATCAATCCAAAGTTAACAGTAGAGCACTAGATTGAAATTGTACTGTACTGTGAACATACTTCTGGAGGTATGAAACATCTTCTTCCTGCTTGTGAAAACATATCAAACACAGGATCCCGGCTCTCGCTGACAACCTGTCCTGATGGTCTGCATAGTACCTGTTCAGGAGGTCATGCCGAGAAAATCTGCAGCAGACATTCTTAGAGGGCTAAGCTCCTTACACTGCTGAGGACTGAGATGAGCTTCAGCTCTGTCAGAGCTACCAGGAATCTGTCTCAAGAAAAGACTACAGGAGTAGTAGTACTTGGACAGAGTCCAGCTCAATGGTCAGGATATGATGGGAATTTAGAGAGATCTAGTAAGAGAGAAAATTACACTCTACAGTCCAGCAGAAAACGTGGAAGTACTAACGGCATGGTGAACAAATGTGAGGAAGGAGAGCTGAAAGGTTCAGATTTTTTATTTTATTTTGTTTTATTTAACCTTTATTTAACCAGGCGAGTCCCATTGAGATTGACATCTCTTTTACAAGGGAACCCTGGCCAAGAGGGCAGCAACAAGGTTTACAACAATACAACACACAAAAAATAAGCTAAGTAATGTAACATCACTATAAGGCAGAAAAACATGGAATACATACAGTACAAAAAAAACTCATTTAAAGCAGTTACAGACTTCTTTTTTTACAGTTTGTAACAAACGTTTAAAATCTCCCAGGGAAACAAGGTCAGACAATTTGAGCGTTTTCTGGATCAAATTCCAGGACCAAGGGGCATTGTAGCAAAACGCAGTCTTCCCAAATGCAGTGAAGGCACGAGGGACCGAGAACAGTAAAATGTCCTGGGAGCGGAGGCTGTACCTACTGGTACAGCGAACAAGGAGGCGATTTAAATAGCCAGGGAGAAACCCTAAGATGGCTTTGTAGATAAAAAAAGTGCCAGTGGAGCCATCTGCGGTAATGGAGTGATGTCAGTCCAGACCCTTCATATAAGAGACAGTGATGGGTGAGAGATTTGGCATTTAGAATAAAACGCAAGGCACCATGATACACAGTGTCTAACACCTTAAGGGATGCAGCAGGGGCATGCATATAAAGAACATCACCATAATCGATCACAGGGAGAAAGGTAGTCATGACAAGTCTCCTTCTGGCAGCGAGGTGAAAACATCGCTTATTTCTAAAGTAAAAACCTAGCTTTAATCTGATGTGTTATTAATATAACAAATAAATGTTTCACGGATCAGAGATCTTTAGCTTATATTAGTTTCCCTTCTTCTGGCTCAGAGTCAGCCCCCTGCCTCAGCCCTGCATATCATGTGTCTGTACAGCTACAAGTCCCATCTGCCCCTCTGCAGGTCTAATGAGAGCTTGTTATCAGTGAAGGAAGGTGCTCACAATCAGCGATCAAAGCTTTTCAAACAGGAGTCGCCCCTGTCTCCAGGAGCAGGGGCCCCATGTGCCCCGGGCAGAAGACAACGATGCTATTGTGCAAAGAGACAGAAGCGAAGCCCACCTGATCACCGCTCCACCAATCACGTCACTCCTCTGGGCGGCACCGCAGGTATCCTCTGTCTGTCTGCCCTCTGGCTGGAACAAGGTCAAAGGTGGGGAAGACAGAGTCCACCCTTTAACAGAAAAGACAGAAAACTGGCTGTGGGACACCTACTTCTAGCAGTATGTAAAGAAGTGCAGTGTTTAAAACATGACGTAAGAATGTTTTAAAGTGTCTGCAGCTGGATGAAAGTGATGCATCCTTTAAACCCCACTGACCTGCCTGTGGCTCTGTCACTGCAGACTCTTTCCGTGCTGTCAAACATTGTTAAAAACAACAGTTATTGGTTTCCTCCTTTAATGGAAGACCTCAATATTTTCAAAAATGTCACTTTTGTCAGTTTTGATGTATAAATAATGTGTCGAAATCCTCAAGGTATATATAATGACTTTAATTTCAGTAAGTAAATGTCTCATTTTAATGTCATTTATCATCCAGGAGATAATTGAAGACTCAGAAAACATGGCTTATTCTTACATTGTGTTTTAAATGGAAACACCTATCCAGCTGGAATGCATTTAAATATTGCACTCAGCACTGTGTGGAACAAAAGGACTTTAACAACCTGAAAGATGCTTCATGTAACATTTTTGCAGCACTTTTGGCCAGTCTAAATAAAGCAGAGTAAAATGAGCCTGTTGAAGAGTAATTAAATCTGTGAATGTAGTCAGATGAATGTAGTCAGATGAATGTGTGAAAATGGACGAAGGAGCACATTTCCCTCTGAAACTAACCGCAGTATTAACACCTTAAAAGTGAGAAGTACCTCAACCCTGTACTTGAGTAAAAACAATTAACTGTGAACTGGATTTAACTCGTATGATCAGTGTCTTTTGTTGTCGCAGAATGATTTGCTTCATTAGAGATGTGAGTGGATCGCAGCAGAACCCTCTCCATCCTCCTGTTCCCGGCAGGAGGAGCGCTTCCCTCTGGACACAGGCCTCCCTGACGCGACGGCGGCGCGCACCCCCGCCCGCTCCCGTGACGCAGCGCATCCCCGTGCGCACAGATGCTGGAGTGGAAGCGACAGGCGCGCTCATCTCAGTGGGACTGAACGCACCGAAGACCGGAGACAGGGGAGAGGATCACCCGGTTTGTGTCCGTCCAGGAGCCTCAGACCGCGGGGAGCGATGCTCAGAACGAGTCGCTCCGCGGGCAGCAGGACTTAAAAAGCTGCGGTGCATCCATCGGAACACTTTTCTATTTACTCTCGCCCCTTCCCCTCTTCATCTCCCCTCCTCTTTGATAAGAAGCACAAGAATCCGGGCGGTCATCGTTCAGTTTGCTCGCTCTGTGAGTATTTAACCGCAGTTTGACAACAGGTCGTGGTTTGGTTTGGTTTGGGCACGATGTGGAACAGCGGGACCCTGCTGCTGCTGCTGCTGCTCCGGGCGCTATCAGCGTCCGGAGAACTCCAACAAGAGACGGAGCCGCGGAGACTCCCACCTCCGGGAAAGTTGGATTTCGGTTATGTGCCTGCGGGAGTTTACGAGACACTCGCCCATTACGAACCGGGACCGATTGGGATTCTGTTCCACATGGTGCACGCGTTTCTGTACGCGGTGCAGCCCAACGCTTTCCCAGAAGGTAAGCATCCTCAGCCGGTCTCACAGCAGCTACAACAGAACACACACACACGAAACCGCTGGAGAATGTGGCGCGGACAGACATGTTGATGGGATTTGGGAGGGAACAGATCCAGCTCTGTCACTGAGATCCGTGTGGTTGTCCAGTGGGACTGACTGCTTTCAACAACAGATCAACTGAATCACGTTCACATCTTTGCAAACTGACTTCTTTCTTCTGATCAAACCTAAGAAAACCCAGTTGGCACCTTTTCCAGCACCACAACTCTGCA